AATTTGAAGAAAAATGTTCATTTTGTTGTTAGCACACTTGACATAAAAACTGACCAAGACGTTTTGCAGGTTTTGGACATTTGTTTTACCTTTTGACAGCTTTCCACTGACAGTTTTCATGTGGTATTTAGTAACATACTTATAGCTATCTAAACTTTCTTATTTCACAAAACTCCAGCTGTACTTCTTTCTGCAGCAATGCCGATAATCAAATCACTGGAATCATGCTTGTGTTTTACTGTAAACTCCTCAGGGTGGACAATCTTCAACAGAAAAGCTCCAGACCTAGGAGAGCTCCCTACTTGCCCTTTGACAGCAAACTGGAGTTTGCTACTGAAAGCTAATTTTTGACCTGAGAAGGTGGTGATGGAGAGAGCATGGCACACCATTTAGTGTAGGAGGCCATGAGAGCTGTTCTTTGAAACTGGGTCATTTGTTGCCCTAAAGTATCGAATATTTCTCCTGCCATCATTATTTACATAGCAAGGTAAAGCCATAGGCAGGCAAGGTTCTTTGGGTAAATCTGGTATCTTTTACAAGACCAACTCAAGTAGTTGGAACTAGTTGAGTTGGTCTAATAAAAGATACCAGATTTACCCAAAGAACCTTGCCTGCCTATGTCCTTAGACCAACATGGCTACAACCTACACCAAGGTAAAGCCATGACTTTTTGCCACTCAAGTGCCATTTCTCACCATCCTTATCTTCTAAATTCTCCTAAAAGAATTGCAAAGAAAAGAGAAAAGTGATTTTTCCCTCAGTTGTATCACTTCCATGAAAGTGTCCTGTGACTGAGGACTTGTCCTGCCATGAATCAATGAAGTCACCTTTGGCAAGCATTTAAAATTAAATGTGGTTGTTTAGCAAGCAAATGCAGAGGCATAACAACAGGGCAGCTCCATACCCTGGGCAGAGGTAGCGTATGGGGTAAGACGGCCAGCTGTGGCTGCTGTTTTTGCACACACACAGTCACTCCATCAGTTCTGCTACTGAGCAAATGAATCGATTAATTCCTTTCACACATGTCCAGTACATAAAACAGCCACAGAGGAACAGACAAAATAGTAACTACTGCTACTGGCATTGCTTCGACAAATAAGGCAGATATAATAAATCAAGCGTGTACATACATACTAACTATCCTTTGGAAAGATACACAGAAAGATTTAGTGGGTTTAATTGCAAAGCTTTGTCTGTGTACTTAAATAATTCCAGTATTTGGCTCTCACAGCAAATCATCAAAACTCCATCTCTGTTACAACTCCAACCTTGAAGACAATTAGGTGATTCAGGAGTAATGGCATGTAAAGAGAGCAAGCCTTCCAGCTCCAGCTGAAATCAATGGTGCACAGCCAACAGCAGCTAGACATGACCAAAAGCTGTTAGCATTTAACAGCTGCCTTATTGCTCATGCTCATAGGAAAGAGCAGACCGTCTCAATGAACGCCCAGAGTGAACAAATCTTCATTTCCAATGGTGGTCTCAACTAGAAGGATCAATAGCAACCTTTCAAATAGTTTCATAGATTTCATAGACATTCGAGCTGGAAGGGACCCTGGAGGATCGAGTCCAGCCCCCTGCCCCGTGGACAGGAAGTAAGCAGGGATCACAGGATCCCAGCAAGATAAGCATCCAAATGTGTCTTGCGCCTCTGGCGGCAGTCTATTCCAAACCTTGGGGGCTCGAACAGTAAAGAAGTTCTTCCTTATGTCCAGCCTGAATCGGTCACGGCGGAGTTTGTGACCATTCAACCTTGTCATCCCTTGGGGTGCTCTGGTGAACAAACATTCCCCCAGATGCTGGTGGTCACCCCTGATAAACTTATAGGTGGCCATCAGATCAACCCTGAGCCTGCGCTTTTCCAGGTTGAATAGCCCTGTGACTCTCAGCCTCTCACCATAAGGTCTGTTTTCCTGACCTCTGTTTGTGCACATGGCTCTCCTCTGCACTCTCTCAAGCTTCTCCACATCCTTTTTGAATTGTGGAGCTCAAAACTGGACACAGTACTCCAGCTGCGGCCTCACCAAGGCCGAGTACAAAGGGAGAATGACGTCCCGAGATTTGCTGGAGAGGCATCTATGGATGCAAGCCAGGGTTTTGCTCTCTTTACTAGCCACAGCATCACACTGTAGGCTCATGTTCATCTTGTGGTCAATCATGACCCCCAAGTCCCTTTCATCTGTAGTGCTAACCAGCGTAGCACTGCCAAGCCTATAAGCATGCTGCAGGTTTTTCCTCCCAAGGTGGAGAACCTTGCATTTTTCGGTGTTGAACACCATCAGGTTCTCATCCGCCCATTTCCTGAGCCTGTCAAGATCTGCCTGGATCACCCTCCTGTCCTCAGGTGTGGATGCTTTACCCCAGAGTTTACTGTCGTTGACAAACTTGGCCAGTTCGCTTCTGACACCAATGTCCACATCACTGATGAAGATGTTAACCAGTATAGGCCCAAGGACAGAGCCTTGAGGGCCCCCACCGGTGACTGCGCATCACAACGATTGGCTTCCATCAACCACCGCCCTCTGGGTCCTACCGCAGAGCCAATTCCCCAGCCAGCGGATTGTGGTGAGGTCTGGCTAACTGTGGCCTCGTTTTGCCAAGAGGTGATCATGGGATACCAGATCAGAGGCTTTTAAGTCAAGATATACAACATCAATCTCTTCCCCCTTGTCCAGGTGATAGGTCACCTGGTCGTAAAAGGAAATGAGATTGGCGAAGCAAGACCTACACGCAGCAAACCCATGCTGGGTATGTGGCAGAAGGCCAACTCTGTTTCTCCCCATAAACTCTGCTCTGTGACAATTTGGTTAGGATGGGCCCAGCAGAGGATACACACCTTACCCTATCTCTTACCTGAGCTGGATACATTCCTGAGGGAGAGGGGAAACCTGCTCCCTCTGCCTACGTGACTGGCATCACATACCTGGGTGAGGGGCTTGCTCCCTGGGGAGCTAGGAACTGCCAGTCTGCCCAGCAACTAGTGACTCATTTCAAATTGGTTGGCTGACAGCCAACAGGTGCTGGCCTCCATTGGACCAGGTAAATGAGTTCACAAGGGCTATATAAGCTAAGGACTGCCCAGGAGGAGGGGGCAGCAGCCATGAGGAAGACTCAGAGAGAGAGACTTGTGGGTGAGCTACCTGAGATCTAACTAGATACATAGCTTGCAGCAACTCAGATATGTGATCAAAGGCTACCCAGCCATGGGAGTTTGCTGTATGGGATTTCTCTGATATTGCACTACCCTGTACCCTATTCCAATCCTATCCCTTGTAACCAATAAAGTTCTCCTTTATACCTAACGTGGGAGACTTATTGGGAGTGGGTCTAGATTATGCTTTGGGGTCCTCTTGGTTTGGCTGACTAAGGGAGACCACTACTTGTGCTTCTGACTGAGGGAAGCACCTCAAGTTCTTGAAGTGAATCAAGTACCCTTGAGGGCTAATAGGCCTGTGTTTCCCAGTGTGCAGAGCCAGAATCAAGTCCAGCCCTGGGTGGTGGCAGTGTTACCCCCAGGCTAGCGGGTGTGCTCCAGGAAGGGGGTCAGCCAGACGTGAGGCGCCCCCAGGGAGGCACTCGGAGCCTGGAAGGTGGTCGGGCACAGTGAGGTGGGTGACTCAATGCAGGAGCACCCCCTACTGGCCCGCCACAGGGTCTCCCTCAGGATATTGCCGTCAGCTAGTCTGTTAAGGATGGCCCCTTTGATAATCTTTTCTAAGACCTTCCCCAGGACAGAGGTCAGGCTGATGGGCCTGTAGTTTGCCGGATCTACTTTCCTCCCTAGTTTGAGCTCTCTAGTGGTGCTTACTGTGTTTCATGCTTTAGAAAACACCATGAATCAGTTAGTGCAGCAGTATGGATTTAATTAGGCCTAACAAGCACAGGTGGATCCAGGATTTGGTAAAGGGGTGTGTGTGGGAGCAGTGACCAGGTGGCTGCACCCACCCTCCTCCCCTCGCCGGGGTGGGCAGAACATCCCGCAGGAGCTGGGGACTTGATTTTAGTCCTCAAATCAGGTAAGACTCTGTCTATGCCCCCCCCACTGCTTTTGCCATCCCCTCCCTTGCCCTCCATGCTCAGTTGTAGCCCCCTCCCCTCTCTACCCATTCACTCCCTCCCTTGCTGCCCAAGGGGTGGGGGAGCTCCAGTCACCCCTGCCCTGCTGCAGCTGGGCTCTGCTGGTAACAGCAACAGTGGTGGTGGTGACAGCAGCAGGGGGTTCCTCATCCCTCAGTCTGTTCTCAAGTGTGCAAGGAACCTGGGGCGGGGGGGAAAAAAAAAAAAAAAAAAATCGGGCAGGAAGGAAGAACCCATCCACTGTTGCTGCTGCCACTGTCCCTGGCAGAGCCTGGTCCTGTGTAGCCTGGATGGCAGAAGTGGCTCTCCTCCACCCCAGGGCAGCTGGCTGCAGTGGCAGCAGCAGGAGGGGATCTGCTACTGAGCAAGGAGAAGGGAGGGAAAATTCTTAATGATCTGGGGACTTATCCCATACTGTGGGAGCAGCAGCCAGGTCTGAAAGGTGGGGAGGAGGTAACCATGGGAGGAAGGGAATACAACTGTGCCACTCACCCCCCTCTGAATATGCCCCTGCTTACAAGATGTGTGAAGAGATGCTAAACAAGGATGTGTGTCATCCAGCTGTGGTTTCTTCAGAAAGATTATTATATAAAGCCGGAGAAGATGGAACATGCTCCTAATAGCATATGAAGAAGTCAGGATTAAGCTATACAAGGAGGGAAGTTTCAACTGCCATGTGCCCACCTGTTACACTGTGGAGGATTTGATTATATCTGGCATCTTTCACAAAACACCATATTTAGTGAAAGAGTTTAGGGATAAGAGTTATACCCCAGTTCGTAACTCTTATGTTCCATGAAAAAAATTTCACCATGCAGTTCTTAACCAAATTATCCAACTCTAAGAATGGTTCTCCAAAAGAGCTCTAACTTACACCATGCCTACACTGCACGCAGACAGCACAGGAGAAACCCAACAGATACCTTCTTGAGAAGATCCTTCTCCTTAACATAAGCATCCTCTATAATTTTCCTTTCACTATGGGCTTTCTTGAGTTCCAGCTGGAGGCTCTCAATCTCTTCTTGCAAATCAACAAGCTGGTTGCCATCCCCCTGGTTCTGCTGGTATCGCTCCAGTTCCTTCTTCAGCTTCTTCATCTCGGTGGAGTGGGCAGAGGTAAGTGCTGAGAGTTGCTCGTTCAGCAGCTTGTACTCTTTGTTCTGCAAGCCATGACCCCCAGAAAAAAGACAAAAGGAAAGCATAACATTAGAAGAATCAGTGCACGTGCTGCAAAAGGAAAAAAAAACCCTTCATGTGGTAGAGAAACTACACTTTAAATGACAAACACTTCAGTGTGAATATAAGGGTCCCATTCCTACTCAAATGACATCATTTTAAATTGGCTTTAGGCTTCACAGAAATATTAGTATGGGATGTTTCCTAACAATTCTACAAACATTTATGAACTTTGCTGAACTAGAAATAAATGCAAACATTTGTCACTTTGTGTAACAGAGACAGTGAAGTACATTTATCCAATAGCTTCAAAACTAGCAGCGCTGCTTAATGCAATTGGATTGCAGTATTGTCCTTTGCAGTACAGCCTTTTATTCTCAGCCCTTATGCTCGCAGAAACCTGCTGCGACAACAAACTAGAACATAATTGCAGGCTGGAGCAGAGAGCTCCCTCAAAACCAGCTCCAAGTCACACCAGTGGGACGTGGTAGCTCAATTAGACCTTTTTCTCTTGTTCAGGTTTGTTTTCTCTGCCTCTGCTGGCAAATACTAATTTCAGTGATTTCCGCTGAAGAGTTTGAGACCTGAAAATTCACTACACTTGGTTGATGTATGTACCATAGTTCAAATCAAAGTTGATGGAAATGACAAGCTGTAAAAATTCCTTGACTGGGTCTATAATCAGTCACACAATGTTCCCCTCACCCCTGCAAATTCACAATTAAGAGTCACATATCCTTCTTTGCTGTAGAGCCTAGTATACCTTTACTAACATTATGCAGCTCTTCCTCAGACAACCAAAAAATAAGTTAACTCCAAGATATTTTTTCTTTTTTCCAGTTTTGGCAAATGATTTGCAAATTTTCTGTATTTTTTTAAACTAGGTTCAAGATCTTTTTTTCCTGCACTTTTTTTTAAAGTAGGTTTATTTGGTTTTCTTATTTGTCTGGTTTTTAATCTATATGCAGTCTACTTTGGAAATAACAGGAATGCTAATTTTTGTTTTCCAGGATTTTCCTGCAGGACATACCACCAAAAGTGGGCATTTGGGATTTCTCTCCAAGCTTCACTTCCTGGAGTCAGGTGACTAGTGTCTGATGAAGAAGACTGTTGCCTATGAAAGCTCATGGCTCTCTGAAACAGTTAATTTCTAGAAGTCCCACCCTACACTGCCTCCTGACAAGATAACATGAAAATCCGATTTTGTGCTTGTTTAACACACACACTTTTTCTGCCTCAAATGGCTGTGGAGAAGAGTTTTCAACTCTGAAGTCCTAAAAGCTTAAAAATCAGAAAGCAAATATAAAAATAAGAAAAATCATTACTCTTTTAAAACCCAAACATTTGGAGAGCCCTAACTATTGCTCAATGTTTGGGTGTGATGTGGCTGGAATAGATATTAAAGCTTTAAACAGACTCAGTTTTCAGGATGGTCATTCAGCATTTATGTTCAATAGGTGCTAACGAAACCAAACCCACAAAGGGTAAGGTTCAAGACTTCATCCAGAGTTAGGAACAGATTTTTTTTTTTCGCCAGACTTTCTCTCTCAAGAGCTCAGCTTTCACTACCTTAGTTCCTATGTCATTGCAGATGGTTTCAGACTAGGTCACATCTTATAAAATATACGCCTGTGCCAATGCATGGCAAGCCCTGTTATGTGACAGTTATTTTGTTTCAGAGCCCTAACCCAGCTCACAAACAACAAAGGCTAGGAAATGAATTGCCTTTCTTTTACCTACTCCCATGTTCCAACTTTTATGCCAGGCTTGAATTTCCAGTGTCAAAATACAAAGGAAAAAAAAATCCCCCCCCCAACTCTTAACTCTTTTTCAGATGAGTGGCTTTTCTGTGGGGGGGGCAGCTCCTGCCACTACATGCACCCCAGGGGGGCATGGGAGGCATGTGACCCCAGATCTGTATGTGAGCGAGGGCAGGCTGCTGCTGCGGGTTGGGTCTGGGGCAGCACCGAGCTCTTCCCGGCAGCGGTCTGGGCCAGGCTGTGTTCAGGGCAGGTGGCAGCAGTGTTGGCAGGGGACTACAGGAGGGGCTGCAGCCACCCCAAAATTCACCGTAGCCCTCCTCCCAGCACCACTGCTTGCCCCGAGTGCAACTCTGCTGAGAGCTTCCTCCTACACCCCGTCCCAGCTGTGCAGCGCCTGCCTCAGCCCCTCCCTCACCGCTGGGGCCTCAATCTGCACCCCCCCCCCGACCCCCCTTCCCTCACAACAGACTTACCAGCCAGACGTGGCTGCTCTCCAAGCTGCAGGGCTGCACTCCTGACTGCACACATGCATAAGGCATTTATTGGCAACATTGGGCATATCAGCCAAAAAAAGCCAACTGCCAATACTGTCAATTTTCCTTACATCGGTGCCAATGTATCAATGCACCTCTAGTCATTAATTCACAGTATCTGTAGCAGAAAGCCCCTTTTCCTCTTGCCTGCAGCTGCTCTCCCCTCCTTGGATATGTTTTTCCTCTTCTACCTTTTCTTCCTTCCTCTTTCTTTCACTTTAAGATAAGGAATTGTGTTTTGAAATTTGTATGTGTGCATTTTGCATCTCCCCTTGTATTTTGGTATTTTTATCTATTTGTGTGCCATGGCATTACTTTTGTAGCTTATATTTTGTACTCCTCACCTTTCAACTTTCAACTAAATGTGTTTAGTTTCATAAGTAAGTTATACATTGTAACAAT